AATCCAGAGCTTAGGGAGTTCCATACTGTTAAACTAATCCTTTCTGTCAGTGCCATAGGAGTAGTATAGAGAGCAGTATATGTTCACTCGTGTAAATGGGCGGAGAATACAATGAGTTTTTCGACTTCGGAAACAACATGGCAGCTGCTCCAGTGTTAAAGGTTCCACTGAGTTAAAGTAATGTCGACTGTATGGCTCATTATTATGTACATCTGCCGCGAGTAGGTTCTGAGAAGTTTTACCTGCTTTAAATTTGTTCGGCTTTATCTTCAAATACTTACCACAATTACTTCGGATCTTAAATCATTAAAATTGTTTTCTTTGATGCATAACTTATGTGTAAATATGCAGGTCTTCACTAGTCCGTTTTTTGAAACAAACCATGTGTGGAAAATACGGTTTTTGCTTTTGTGTTATAAGAACTGAATGAAATCTTAACATTAAAAAAAAATCCTGTAATGATAAGAAAATTCCTCGCGTGACTAGTCCCTAACAGAGTTGGAGAAAGGTGCACCTCCTGTTTGGATTTCTTGCAGGGTTTTTTGTGAGTCGTGTTTGTTTTTACACCTTCCAAACAAGTCTTATGTAAATAATTGTGTTTCCATAACTCATTAAGAGGTTCATGTTCCGAAAAAGTCAAAATTACATTTTCAGTTAGAAAAAACGCAAACACAACTTTTCGAAAACACGTTTTTCTTCTTTCTCCTCGCGCACCTGTTTCGTATAGTTTCCAGGTCTCAAGAAATTCACTGAAGGGGTCTGTTAAGTGATAGCGGCAAATTACGTAACTCTGTAACTCTTCAAGGAAAATTTTGCTGAGTCGGTGCATGTTTCGTTAATACTGTATTTTGTTAAATTATTAATGTAGAATGTAAAGTGCTGGTCATACGGTTTTCAAACATACCAGGATCGAATGTTCTAGTGGTGAAATTCGAGGCTTTTTTTTTTTTACCAAAGTTGTCATTCGTGAAAATTATTGTTGTATTCTTAGTATAATTCTTTACGATTAAGGTAGAATAATAATAAAAAGTACTCTTTTCTTTTATGAAATTAGGGTAAAATAATAATGACGAAATCATCCTTCTTTTTATTCTAGAATCCCAGATCTGAATGTATGAACACTGAATTGAATTCTAAAAATAAAGAGACTAGTGTCAAAATGTGTGTCTTTACTTGAGAAAGGAAAAGTAACGAAGCGTGAATCATCTAGCGGCAGAGGTTAGTTGGGTTCAAATATTATTATTTCTTAATTTGAAACTGAAATTGTTTTAGCTAAAAGAGGAATTTACACTTGGTGTAAAACTTATTCAAAACTATTCAATTTCGTTAATATTTAGAATCAACTCAAACCATATTCAATGGCAAACTTTGGGAATCTTACCTTTAAGTACGCACAACTTTGTGGCAGGTGAAGATAATTATTTAAAAATCTAATTTTTTAAAGTCGTCGATAGAATTCTAATATCTTCAACTTTCCCAAAACGGTCTTTGTTTCTTTTAAAAACTATGATTATGCACTACTGTAGTTTAACATCTGTCATAAATAATTAATTTTGACTTCCGTTGAGAATCTTTCCCTTCGCCTCCGGTTTTCTTCTTCGCTTACTATTATTATTAACTAATCACCTCCTCCTCACCCCTTGAAAAAGAAGGAAACAGAAAAAACGATTGAAATTCTTAATCAGTTGAAATTTCTTAGTTATTGGTTGGTGGTAATCTAGAGTAAAACTTTTTACCCCTTCAGTATTCAGATTTTTTCTTCTTAAAGTCAAGTTTCTCTTTCAAAACATACTCTCTAAAACTTGTTCTTAACACCTGCTCCTTGACCAGAAATGTTTTAAAGTTTAGAAGAACCTCATTAAAATCTATGGAGGAGGCCGACTGTTTTTCAGTCTAGAGGTCATAACAATAAGCAAATTTGAAGGAAATCTGATGAAAAACTCCCAATCTTTGAGGAATTCCTTTTTTAAGGCTTCTGTTAACAGCAGCTGTGTTCGTTAATTGGCACAAAAAAAATTACTGCAGGGTTTCTAGGAAAGCATTAGCAATCTGCAGAAGAAACGCGGTCGAAATAATAACTGTCTCCGAACCAACTGTGAAAAGAAGAATATAAACCGTTATCTCCTGTCGCTCTCAAATATCATGTCAATTGAAGATTCTTGCTTCTGTTTACGCAGTCATTACAGAGTTCAAATCAGCTTATGGTTTTAACTTCATCAAATGATGAAGTGACACCGCTAGTGATAAAAAGATGGCTGTGGTATATCTAGTCTTTCTCTTGGTTAATAGAGCTGTGAGAGAATTTCGAAATATTTCAATTCCATTTTAATAAAAAATGGTGGATCCAGTTTACAAACTTTTAAAATCATATTCGTATGTGACAAATCAAGTCTAGAAATTTCAATTTTCTTTTACATGACTTTTCGAACCTAAAATTACGTCATTCGGTGAAAATTAGTAAAAGCAAACCATGATACTAGGAATTTATTTATAATCAATCGCATGGGAATCTCCAAGTAGTTTTCCTTTAAAGTTTTGTGAAGATGCCAAGCGCCGTAATTTATGTTAATATAACGTGAGAAGAGATGAAAATCCTCAAAGAGAAAGCGAAATGGAAAGTCCGAGTATTGAAGGTTTTTCAAGCTTATTTAGATTGCAAACTTAATTACTTACTGTGATAAAATCAAACACAGCTAACACGCGTATAGTATATTTAGTTTCATGTTCAAAAACAAAACAGAACGAAATAAGAATGACGAAAAACATACAAACAAACTGGCATTATTGTTAAAATTCATACAAATACGATGGTGTCAGAGCGACTGCTATCATGCTAAGGTCCATCGCGGCTAGCTCATAATGGCGATCTTCGGTCATCGCAATGAAGCAAGCCTTGACATTACATCGGACGCCCTTCGACTGAACGACTAAGAGCTTGCTCTGGTATCCTTTCCGACACGTGGAGTGGAAGGCCACATCGGACAAAGTAGCCGAGTTTTACAGTGCTGTCATCCTGAGCGATCTTCATGTCCTTATGAATTCGTCTCTCGTTATTCATACAACACACGTCTCTAGGAAAACACCTGTCAGAGGTATCATTCATTAAAAGTTCAAGTTGATTTACCTCCTGAGAGAGCATGTGAAGGGATAGAAACACGCAACATAATAAAACTTGAAATTTTTTAATAAAAATGATAGTGCAACTATTTTATCCACCTCGGTGGAAGCAGCTGTAAGTAGTCGTAATAAACAGCAAGAAAATATTTTATAAAGGGCATTCACACACATATGTAAGTTAATTGCAACTAGTTCAGTATCCTGTCAGGGGCTGAAGTACCTGCTGTATAGAATAATAAACCCCCTGCATTCTTTGTTGTATGTAATATATTTGAGGGTGAAAATAGAGGCGCCTTCTGCATTAGAAGTAGCTTTCTGTCGCGTATCTGCAAGGATGCGTTATTTAGACCTCCAGTTTTATCTCAAAATGAAAACCATCGTCTTCATCGTCTCCATCAAGTTTGGAACTTTCTTCTCTTGGTGTAATTGCTGTTTGGGTAAGAACATCTCGTAATTTGTTAATTTTGGTAACTGTAAGGATTTAATTTAACTACGTTGGATACAAAACTATTGGAAAAGTGGGACTTGTTTTTTCTCTTCATTACTGATATTATATTTCGAAGTTATCTTTTACATATTGCTTTTTCATTTTGATAACTGTAAGGATTCAATTTAACTACAAAACTTTTGGAAGAGAACTAATAATTTGAAGAAGAAATAGCCCTTCAAGTTCCGTAAATTTGTAAACTCCCATTAATACGACTCCATGGGCGTTTTTGGAGAATAATGACGTTAAGTTAAGTTAATTTACAAAGATAATGCATTGACGGTAGATGGGAATAAAAATTGGATGAAAAAGTACTCGAAAAGCTCTTTATCTTGAGGAGAGCCACAATAAAAATTTTGTTCGCTTTCCACAGATGACGAATTTCGTAATATCGTGTTCAAACAACCAATCCCGAATAAGATATTGAAGAATCATTTGATCAAGACTGAGGATGTGCCTAATGAGGGGAGCTGTCGTGTGTTGTGTTATATGGACCCCGACTGCATGTCCATCAACCTTGGACCATTTATGCGAGGAAAACACATATGTCAGTTAAACAATGCTACTGACAAAAGTCTCGCTAGTGAACGTGGTTTTACTCACCTTGCCATTGAGGTAACGAGCACATTTTATTCATCTCTTTGAGCTGTTTTGTGGTACCTGAGTGCAGATAGATTCTCTAGCCTCGAAGGATGCATTTATGGACTTGTTCTTCCATATAATCTTGATGATCATAGCGTACTTCAATAACAGGTGGCTCAAATCACATCCATTAGATTCTTGCACGAACCTCAAGCGCCGTGGATGAAATATAAAAATAAGAAAACCTAAAAATTAATCGTCCTTCACCGAAGCTTACAGTGATTCCTTTAAAGTATTTTTGAAGCCAAAACAATAGATGGGAAAAATTTATACGCATATATGGTGACAACATCTAAGATAAGATTACTAGGTGATTTCAATTAAGAGTTTAAGAAATTTTGAATGCGAGGGTTTTGTATCACAGCACGCTGTTATTTGCACACGAAACTTGCATCTCCTTATCAATCAGGCATAAACTTTGCTTGTGATGAATTTTAAAAACTTCTTAACACATTCTTGCCTTAACACATTTTCCTTTTTTCAGAGTTTGGAGATGTTATCATAACAACTTTGGTTATAAGTTTAATGAAACGTGCTTCATTTTATATTTGTTATTGAATAGAACCATTGTGATAGCGGCCCGTGTTTAAATGGAGGCAGCTGCCAAGCTGGTTTCACAAGTAAAGGTTTTCGGTGTATCTGTCCAGAAGAATT